GATACGACCCCTCCTATAAACTCAACCAGGTACGACCCCCCCGTTGTTACTAGTAACAACGTAGGGTTGACCTCAACCTTGCTTGGCTCGAAAGGTCGCAAGGAGGAGACGAGTTCTCGGCTTGATATTTTTCTTGGCTGCAAAAAAATGTGTGACGTTTAAACTCCTCTGCTTTCCATCTGGATGCTCCTTACTTATTGAAGCACTCAACCGTTACTCACAAGAGCTTTTTTGTTACGTTGAAGTGTCGCTACATGTAGCGTGCCAAGGCCTCTTCGGTCTATTTGAGGATTGATGTACCGTGATGTGATTAATTCAATTTCTTTAAACTGCGTGATATTTGATATCAATGAAAAGAGAACATTGATACCAAACCTATCTTGTTCTCTATCATATTTTGCCTAAAAAGACAATGAATATTGAAGATTCGAAACCATTTATTCATTTCAACGCAACTATGAGTAACAAACAATGGAGAAGAGAAAGAGAGGATAGAAATTGTTATCGTTGTTCGTTGTTACATCTCGTATTGTTGGGGTCTTAGGTTGTGTGGTTGGTGTTGCGGGTGACTTGAGACTAGGGCTATGTTGGGCCCTTTTAAGTACACCTTGCGGTGGTTTCAGTGGAATAGTTTAAATGTGAGAGTAGAGAAGAGATTGACGAACGTGTTTATTGAGCAGTCACGTAGTAAGCGCAAGTTGAGTCGTATACCAAGCCAGCATCTTTGTACATAAGCGTCCGCCCCCAGCAGACGTAAGGCCGAAGGGGATCATCGCCTGCCGAATGCGCAGGCCGATGATACCTCACGGCTGAGGGGCGGGCACTTAACAATATTCGAACCCATGGTTTCCAACAATTTTAATGACATGAGTATTAGCGAGATGAGCTTATGTAGAACTGCTTGTTGAAAAGTGAAGGCGGCTTGATCGAGGGTACGGTGATTGATGTAGACTGCTTGATTGATTGGTTATTGTAGGATTGGATGTAGACTGCTTGATTGATTGGATGTAGACTGCTTGACGATGCAGCCTCAGAAGCGGGGTCGCTTATGAGACTGCTGGGAAGGTACTCCTCGAAAGCATGAGGCTCAAGTTTATTCTTAGCCTCCTTTTTGGTCATCATCGTATATCGCCCTATCTCAGAGACTTGGTCTATGAAATTCGCAACATCGATGCGCCGCAATTTTTCCATTTCTTGTTCGTCGAGCCATCGATTGAGTCCCTCAACAGTAAAATTCACCGGTTCCATCTGATAAGCCGACAAAATTTTTTCAGCGCCTTCGAGACAATAAGTTCTCAAAAACGCAGCAGTCGTCTCTTGAACTTCGGCAGAAATGTCTACCGGCAACGCATTCTTCGGAACATCACAGTTTCGCTTACTTAGAGCAAGAAGAGTTTGACGCGAAGTGCGAGGGCGAGCATTGGGCTGTGCAGTACGCAAGCGTGCAATATACGAAGGTTTATCATCACGAAATACTGCCTTAGTTTGCCCAATTTTTGATTTATCGATACGCACATCATCGACAAAACACCTCAGCTCTGACGTCTCGATCTGAATTTCGTCATATTTTTGAAAACTCAAACCGGCTCCAGGTAAAGCGTCGTCATAAAAATTTTGTAATGCGGTGACAACGTCAATGTCGATATCAACAGGCTGATAGCGTCCGCGCAAATAGAACGAATCAACGACTGAGACAGGCAACATTTGATCTGAAACAGTCGGAGCCGCGGACAAGGCCTGTTCAACCGACAAAATTTTCAGTGCAATTTCGCTGCGCTCCTCTGTACTCGGTTCGTCGTGCCGTTCAAGAGGTACTAAGACCTGAGTATACTCGAGCGGACGAATTGCAACAGGATGATCTTCCGTCGGAGCTTCCTGCATGAATTCAATGGAAGCCAATTTTGCGGCCTGCTGCGCAGTTCGACCTACATCGGTAACATTAATCCGCAAGTCAACAGATCGGATAAAATTGAGAACCGCGTCCACTCGACCTGGATGGTAATATACAAAGTTACGAGTGTGCCGCGAAATAGCTACCAATGCGTGCTGTTTCGAGTCGAAAATCGTCATCATAGTGGGAATCAAACGCACCAGTGCAAAACATTCTGTTTCACAAACCGATAATCAACGCGATATACGGGTCTGTGTTCAAGATTCTGTTCGATCGTTTTGTCCGACTGTTAAAACCTAACGTCTTTTGTATGTTACGCAAATCGATTGAGCAGCTCAAGATTCACCTTAACACATATCTTGAACCCGGCCAACGTTATGAGAAGTTCGAAATTGATTTTTCGAAATTTGATAAATCTCAGTTGGCTTTGTGTTTTGAATTTGAGAATTACATGTATCAACTTTTGGGCATGGATCCGTATTTGGATTGTATTTGGAAAATGGGGCACAGAAAGACCAGTGCCATGGATTTTCAAACCGGCATTAAGGCTCTTCTCTTCTATCAGAGGAAAAGCGGCTACGGCTTTCGGAAATACCTTGATCAGTATGGCTTCCATCGCTTGTTCGGCAGACGTACGCGGCTTCGTATGCGCTTATTTTGTCGGTGATGATTCATTGATTTTTTACACTTCTCATCGAAATGATCGGCAACTTGTTAAAAATTTGTCTGATATTTTTAACCTATCGGCGAAATCGATAGAAAAGAAGGTCGGCTACTTTTGCAGCACGTTTATCATTGATTCGCCGATCGGTTACGTACCGTTGCCTGATCCATTGAAACGTATCGAACGTCTTGGAAGAGATTTGTTTGGTATAGATGAGGTTGGATTGAAAGATCGTTTCACCTCATTTTCTGAACTAATGCAAGATATTAACATCATCGAAATTGAGATGTTGCTGATTGGTCTTACCGAACGTTATGGGAATGCCCACAGCGCGCGGTATGCACTGGACGCGTTACGTGCGATTACTTCAAAATATGAAGTATTTCGCCGGTTATATGAGCCGGGCGAGCGTCCTTCCGTTTTAACAAGAATCAAAACAACTCTCCGAATTTGACTAACAATGCCATTTTCTCACACTAGCTGGGAAGTCAATGAATTCACTCTTGACGCCATTCGATACGCACGATGGTATAATCGTGCTGATCTTTTGGCGTGGCTCGGGTCTTTGGCTGATTTGAATTTGGCTATCCGCAGCGAACAGGCTCGTGCCCTCTCCGCGCTTAATAGCCTCCCGCACAATGCGCCGTTCGATGTCGACCGTCGCTTCCCGGCCGATGCACCAAGCTGTTGCGGGTGACTTGAGACTAGGGCTATGTTGGGCCCTTTTAAGTACACCTTGCGGTGGTTCAGTGGAATAGTTTAAATGTGAGAGTAGAGAAGAGATTGACGAACGTGTTTATTGAGCAGTCACGTAGTAAGCGCAAGTTGAGTCGTATACCAAGCCAGCATCTTTGTACATAAGCGTCCGCCCCCAGCAGACGTAAGGCCGAGAGGGGATCATCGCCTGCGATGCGCAGGCGATGATAGTTGGGTGTGAGTTGTCTTCTCTTCTTGACGAGGTGGCGAGTCCGACCGGCATAGGTTCGTCGTAGCGTAGTTGTAGAAGTTGAGTTAGGGTAGATGGTGTGCGACCGTAAGTCGCTTGACGAGAGGGGCGGAGCCCCAGAAGGAAGAGAGAAGAGTTGAAAGAGGCTAAACTAAAGGTGACACCGAAGTGGAAGACTGCCACTGCCGCCCGGAGCGCGCTCTTTATACCTCCCAGAAGAGGGCGGTATATATACCTGTGCTAGTAGGCGGTCCGGTGGGCATGGCAATTTGGAATTGGTTGTAGTTTGTACGCGGTAAATTCAAAATGTATATGCCGTGTTTCGGCACTTGTTTGTTGTAACAGGGCTTAGCCTTAGGGTATTTAGGTGACCAGTCTTTATCATGACTGGGAAGTCATGACACAATTACCACAATTTTGACCCACCCTGTACCCTCTGTTTCAAAAACAGAAGCGCGTCGGTGCAGACCACACACCACAAGTGACGACGGCCTCCAAGTAAATCTGGTTAGTAGTGATTCATAGTGATAGCTGATTTTGGTAAATGATAGTTGTAATTAGTGACAACTGATAGAATACAACTGCAACAGGCTAATCATTTCATTGGCAGAAAACATTTACATTTTGTGGAGCCGTCGTCACTTGTGGTGTGTGGTCTGCACTCCAGATTTTCTGAAACGGAGGGTATAGTCCGCATCTCGAAGTCTGATTAGGGGTGTCACCGGAAATGAAGCGGCCGCCGCACTTGATAGGTTGCGTGAATAAGCTTCTGGCCTGTCTTGCTGATTCCCAGCGAAGCATGTGGGAAGCGGCTGATCCGCGTGATTTCTATCAAGTGCGACGGTCGCCACATGAAGAACATAGATCCGTCTAATGAGATTCTCAGGTATTAACTATACCCTCCAGTAAATGCGGAGGTGTTCCGGCCATCCGAGACGTGCTACGATAGAAGACGATCGCAAATGAAAAGCAGGAAAACTGCAATCTTCTTATCTTCTCACTCGTAATCTTTGAAACGTGCTCTACACAGAAAGCAACCTGTTCTGCATACTATTGCTTCGTACTGCTGTAAGGCATCCTGCTCCGATCCGGTAACTCGAAGGATATGCTTGATAAAAGCTCCGTTGGTTGGGATTACTTTTCGCGCTTTTACAGCTCACTTTTGCCACAACCGCAGAAACTCAGGAAAAAATTTCGAGGCGTCAAGGCAAGCAATAATGATGAGATCTGACTTACAGCTACAATTCGACAAACGAGAATTCAACAAAGACAACTTTGGCACGGTCGAGCAGTGGTGTAGGATATTTTATTACAAAAGAGGAAAAAATCGCGCTTATGGTTAGTACCAGAAACCATTGCATTTTCATTTTCAATGCTGTAACCCCTTTACTCCTCACAAAGAAAAGAAGGAAGAAGAGAAAAACATTTTCTTCATAGAAACGAAATCACATAAGTCACATAAATTCCGTAAAAATTTAGCGTTTTTTGTTTGCCTTTGTTCACAAGCTATTGCTGACTGAACCCCGCATGCGCATTGCTTCCACCATTTCCTGAAACAGAAGATTTCTCCGATTGCAGATGACCTTGCTTACAGCCCAGAAACATCCGAACGAACCTCCCACATCTCGTAAGTAAATGATATTATGGCCTGGTTCGTAACTGCCGCTGACCTGTCGTCTACATGCAACCTCTGGCGTTCTTCATTCGAAACGTGCACTAAACAAGCCAGAACTTGTTTACACGTTCATAGGGAACTATTCGTGCGAATTTTACGTTCAAAAAAAGATGCGCAGTTAGAAAAACATTCATAGAGAACATAACGTTCAAAATATCTCGGTTAACTCAAACTTACACAGCACGGGTAGACCATCCTCGCCGACTGTCAAACGCACACGCCCATCTTTGACAAGAAAGGAGACGTAGAACATGTTTTCGACCTGAAAATATGTAAACGTAAGGTTGAGAATTTACCAACGTATGAACGACTCTCGGGCCGAAGATATTTAGCTATGCTGTCGCAGTTCCTGTACAGATAGCTTCTGATGCCGTAACAGATATTAGGTGTAGAATGCCACTAGAAATGCTGCTCGTAAAAAAAAACAAAAGATCACCGCACACTCGGAGGTTGTACCTAATTTTGAGAGCAGGCAGCTGGCAGACGAGACTCCTATTCCTGATGAATCCAAAGTAACTAATAATAAAGTGTTAGAAAATTCTCAGAAGGTGGGGAACTGGTGAAAAATCAAAAACTGTGGGTCAGTACGAGGTCGTCAGTATTCTTGATACATTCGACACGGAAACACAATGCGTCTCAAGTAGCTTCCCGAATTCTCTTTTTCACAGAGCCTCGCCACTGACGTTGATGTCATAGTAGTGTACTCCCTCCGAATGGCTAGCTGGATGAGTTCGTAGAATCCCTCCAAAAAGTTGGAAGGGCTTTTGAAGTTTCGAATGATAACTTTCGAATTTTTAGCTTTTCAAGAGAACGATATCGTCAAAATCAGAACGTGAGGCTACAGATTAATCTTTCACTTCAAAACCTCGTTGACACATGAAAAGCGTGATTGGAAAAAACATGGTTGGGAAATGTGTGGAAATTATCGACTGCTAGCTGCAGAATGTTCATAAGTAAAAGCTCATCCAGATATAAGGTTCCAATATGTCAAGAAAGACAGGCAACAGTATGAAAATGTAGCTCTCACCGATTTCGAAAAATCTGTTGGATCGATGACGAAAGAGAAGAAGTCGACCGACGGTTTCTCCTTCCAAGCTCGCTTTAGTGCTTTTCTCACCTTATCCAGCTGAATGATTATATTGCAATCCTCGAGCCAAATTCAGGAAATTTTGGTTCAGTCATTTGAAAGAAAAAAGACCTCTAGAAATTAATCAAAACCCGACAGATTATCATTGAAAAACTACGCGAATCACCTCTTGAGCTACGGAAACTTCGTCGTCGACGCTTTCAGCTTGCTTTGAAGAAAGCACAACTGCAGCCTCTTGTGTATCCTTTCCTCTTTTCAACCGTTCTTTCTTTGTAATTTGGGACGCAGGTGGCGCTATGTCATACGAAACGACGGAACGTCTAAAATGACAATATACCAGCTTTAGCGATGATCGTAAATCAAATATTTTCTTTGATTTCACCCAAATCAGAAAGGGGAAGAGTGCACTTCAATGAAATCATTTAAGAACAGAAATAGAGACGCCTCATCGCAAAGTCGAGAAGCACCGCGTAGCCTGCACTTCTGATTTTCTTACACGGAAAGGAACCGTTTCGAGCACCATTGGTATCACAACATTTATATGATACCTCCAAAGATTACCATAGCATCTAGTTTAATGCTAATAGGGAACTGTTTGAAAACGGGAGCATTTCGGATCCACATCCCGTCCCTCCCAATATCCGGGTCAGTAAAGATGTTTCAGGCAAAAAACGGCGTTGAATAACATCAAATATGGCTCAGAAAGCATGCCTCACCAAGGACCAAAGCTCACAGTTAGCTGACATTGAAAAATGAAGTTTGGCGCTTAACATTCCAAAATTTGTGGCTTTAAATGGGGTAGTGCATTTTTCTTTAGTTACTGTATGTATTTCTGTCGGTCATCATATATTTTGTTCATAATTACCAATCACGACGAAAATGTACAAGACTCACAGAGATTGGTAGTTGAAAGATACATCATATGTCAGCGTGCCAAAATCCTGGCGACCAAGCCAAGCCCATTTATCGCGACTTATCTGGTGTAGAGAAAGAGAGTCATGGGAATACAGCAGAAATAGGATGAAAACTAGGAAGGGTAATAAAAAGACTTAATGAATACCATTGGCGCTCCTGAAGATGCATGCCGCGTGGCGGAAACTTGTGTTCCATTGGAACATGAAGGCAAGTTTGTTGGATCGTCATCTTCTTCATCCTTCAGCAACGGGTTGTCTTCACCGTCGATAAAAGCTGCGTCGGTGGATGATTGTGAAGAGTTTACAAATGAAATCTGAAAGCTCGAAATAATGTGAAATAGCACGGCGGCTGCGCCTGCACAACTGATATTTCAGGATTCTAACTCTTCATAAGATTTCTCATTGAAGCTGCCGATTAATCAAGCAAAAGAAATTGTGAAATGCGCTGCGTGCCTTTAACTTGTCAAAGAATTTGCTAGGGTTTTCGATTCCGCCAAAGAGTATTACCAAATTTCCAATTTTCTCCAGGCTTTCGTAGGAGTGTGACGAAAGAGTATGGCTGGTGTGAGTCCAAGATCCGTCGCAGGTTTCGCTGATTTCAGCGATTTTCGCGATTTGCGCGACGGGTCACGGAAATCACAAGTGCCCCATCAATACTGCAAGGTGTTCTCCAATCCCGCCGCCACTTCTGCTTGATAGTAAGGCCTGAATGACGACTGCCTTCACTGTCAAGCAGAATTCGCAGCAGGATTAAACAGCACCTCGCAGTATCATCGGGCACTTCCAACTCCTGTGATCCATCGCAGGTTTCGCGCAAATCGCGAAAATCGCTGAAACCGGCGAAACCTACGATGGATCGCGGACTCTGACACCAGCCTACCAGCTCGGGAAGAGAGCTGAATACCAGTTTTGTGATAGCACACACGATCAAAGCACGAAGCAGGAGTGGTAATAAAATAGTAGGGAAGACTTGAACAAGTGGGTTGTGTTGAAAAAATCAACTTCACAAAACAAGGCTAATGAATGTCGAATTTCCAATCTGATATTGATAACATTAGTAACAACCAGTGCAAAACCAGCTACGAGAATCGGAGGCAAAATTTCCGAAAAGGATAAACTCGTTCAAGCAGTTCCAAAAGAACTTGATATCACATATTGGCCTGCATGTAATCCTAACCCCTCTTCTCAAAGTGCGAATGAATTTCCCATTTGTCCCACTTCTGCCCTCCTCAACTTAGCCAACGAAACAATAGCGTGCAGCCCGGGACCGTGGATTTTGGAACATGGAAGCCAAGAGCCAAGAAAAAACGCACAACGCCACAGCTGGCTCCGTACGAAGAGGCAAATGAGCTAAGAAAAATAAAGACTAACCAGAGCTTCCGCAAAGGAAGCGGCTGTGACTATCCTTTCAGAATTTGCACTTCGGAACGACTTCATTTGTTCAAGTAAAACACTTGCCATCGACAACAATGAGTCAGCGTCCGCTGCAAGCTCTTTGCCTCCTGCGCCTACCTTGAAAGGGGGAAATTACGTAGGGTACTCGAAGAAACACCTACAACCCACATTCTGATAAGAGCGCTCAACATCTTCAAGAGACTTCCCGAGGTGCTCAATCAACTCTCCATTTTCCTTTCTTTCAGCGTCACCTAAAACACTAACATTACATGGTTCACAAAGTATGGATGCAGAAGGGACTTGGTTTTACCTGTGAACTGACTGCAAATGTCATGGTACGCTTCTCGTAGGCTCGCACGTTTTGCAAACTGTTGAGAAGGATCCTCCTCAGTCACCAATGAGTTCAGATAGTTGGCCTCTTGTACCTGAACGTCTGACTTCCTTGCTGTTGGGTGCCGTGATTTAGACCGCAATTATAGCTTGCAAGCATCCGAAGAGATCGATTATCCTATAGCACAACCGCGTACGGGGTAGATACGTACAGAATGTCTGACCGTTCCTCTCATGGATCGCGCTATCGCATGCTCATACCCAGGTATCTATATATTACCTCAACTCGGTTATGTGATCGGACGACTGCAAACTATTACTGCAGTCTAAAGCCAGCAATATGCAATGCTCTACAATCCTCCCTCCAAATTCGCGTAGTATTTTGAGGGAATCGTATAAAAAAACGCCCCGGCACTCCGTGATCGGTCACGATGGCTAGCTAGGGGCTTCTGGCTCTGGCCAGGAGGTTAATCCAGGCACAGAATCAATTATCACCAACTAAGGTAATTATCAAGAAATATAGACTGGAACCTGTGAACTGGTGAGCCCGTCCTCTACAGTTTCTTCCATGTGGTCGTCCTCATCACCGTCTTGGTTGTTGCTGTGGCTTAGTGGACGCGGCATGACAATGATTGCTCGATGAAAACCACTGTAAGCTTAGCTTTTATTAGGCTCCTGATATTCGAAGCAATCGCAAATGACATTGAATAAATGTTCTATGAAAGAGCTCAAGCACAAGATATCTATGATAATGATTGAAATAGCTTCCTATCCCTACGACGATATAGAAAAACATGGATGTGTTAAGCTTTTTGGGTCGATTGATTGGATTGGAAGGGAGGGTAATCTGTGCAACAGTTACAGAAGAGCTGATGATTCCAATTTTTCAGGGGGAAAGAGTCCCAGGATGAATGAACCTATTCCCCTCTGCTAATTACGTAATATTTATCGTAGTTTCCAATGGGTACGGCAGTCTGCATCAGAACGCCCCTACTGATCACCAGCTTTTTTTTTGACAAAAACAGCATAGATGTCTCATACTTCCAAGGAGAATATATTTGAAGAAATCCTGCCAACTCTTTTTCAAAATTCGATTTAAGTTTCATCTTTTTGGTTACAACTCCTGACCGGTCTTATATCTACCATGAGTGTCCACACTTGTCTCCAATGCTCAGAAAATTTCTTGATGCTTCTTCGCCAAAACCCAGCGGAGTACGGGTTGAGAGAAACGAGACGACCTCACTTTCGAGTTGGAAGTTGATCATCTAATTATCATCATCAAGATGATGATTTAAGGTCTAGGATAGGTTGGCAGTCATTTATAGCTTCGACCAGGGAATACGCTAGAAGAGGTAAGAAATCTTGCCGCAGCTCCAGAATTTCTTACCGGGCTCATTTCGGATCATGGTGATTCGCAATGTCATGAAAGAAGCAAATGTGGTGTCCGGACAGGCCGGACGCATAGTCGGTCGGACGACAGCAACGACTGCAAGTGTCGCACAGCATTGGATGCGTATCGATCGTCGGACTTGCCTGAGTATTCGACGATTAGATGCAGTTAGACAGTCAGACAGTTGCGATCGTTGCTGTCGGACGACCGACTATGCGTGCGCCCTTACGAGTGCGCCTGACGACCTGCCTCGGCCAGCTTCTGGAGTTCCGCAGACTATATACCTCTAGCTACACAATGGTGCCCATAACGAAGAATTTGTAGTGGAGCTTCCGTAAGAGCCCTTCCTGTAATGGAGTGTGTAGGACGCTGCTGGCTTCTTATAAAAATATCAAAAGATCGAAAGCGCTGGTAAAGTGAAACACGCTGTAGCGGTGAACGACATGCCTATTGAAGCTATTGCAGATAGTGTTGGTCTTTGACACGAATCCATATGGAGACATTTGTACTAGACAGTGACTCGGAGTATGGATTTACTAGTGGTCGAGGTTTTTTGAATTTTCTTGGATAACTACTGACTGCAGCACTTATATCCACCTCGTGGATTGAAGCCTTGAGAATGCTCTACCATTTGGTAGTCATAAATGTTACCTATGAATTTTTCAGAAAAAAAAAAGAAAATTTTAGAAAGAGTGTTGCAGAACTTTCTTTCCAACCTAATAGTTGAAGTTTACCCGAAAAGAGCACATCTTTATGCGGAAAACTGAAACTTGCACCTGGAAGAAATGACCACTGGTTGAAAAAGATCTAAAGCGAAGAAACGTGCCCGCCAAGCATGGGGGAGAAGGGGACATTCAAAATACAGGGCGTACTTCCAGAAGCACCGATGCGAGTGACACGATGCTAACAACCAATTATAGCGATCAAGTTGCAAGAAATGCCAGAATGAAAAAGGTTTTGACGTCAAATTAGCTCCAGGTGGCCTACGTGTTAAAAATGGATGTCATATTCGTTGTCACACCGGCTATTTACCTTCATAGGGTTCAGAAAATTACAAATACTGGGACCTTGAATTTGGAAAAACGCGCATTACAGAAAACTACAGGGTGTCCCATAAATATTGCACCAAAGTTTTTACTTCATAACTTCTTTAAAAATGCAGCTATATTTACACGACTATACACAATTATTATACAAACAATGACATATTACAAACAATATCATTCATTCAATATGTCCCCCGTTTGCCGCAATTACCGCTCTTAGACGCTTCGGATATGCTTCCACTGCGGCCCGCAAGGTTTCCTGGGGTATCTCCTCCCACGCTTTAGACAAGGACGACTTCAACTCCTCCAGGTTTCTGTGTTGTTTAAAGCAAGCCTTCTCCTCTAAAATGGACCAGATAGAATAGTCCAGCACGTTGAGATCGGGCGAGCAAGCGGGCCATTCCGTCGAAGGTATGAAATCAGGGAGCATGGCGCGGCACCAGTCCTGAACACTTTTCGCCCTGTGTGCGGGAGCGGAGTCCTGCTGGAAAGTCCATCTCTCTCCCACGAAGTGGCCATTGGCCCATGGCAGCAGATGCTTCTGGAGAACTTCCGTTAGGTATGCGCTAGCATTGAGTTTTGTTCCTTTTTCGACGAACACCAGTGGGGTGCGCCCGGTGGCGGACACCCCAGCCCAGACCATAACAGAAATAGGCTTCTGCTTACGAGCCACAATTCTGCCTCTCTCGTCAGCTTCCTCGGAAGTGTGTGCGAGCACTCTGGTATTTTGGCGGTTATAGCTCTCTTCCAATGTGAAAATTTTTTCGTCCGTAAAAACGGTCTTCAAATGTTCTCCTTGTTCGGCCCTCGCCAGCAGCGAAAAACATTTCTCTCTTCTCTTCGTCTTCTGCCCTTCGGTCAAACCATGCCTCCTCTGCAGCTTATAAGGATAAACGTGAAGATCTCGTCTAACCACTCTCCACATGGTCATTCTCGAAACATCCAACTCTTTGGCCATCTTTCTTATACTCCTCCTGGGATTGCGGTCGACGCGCTTCTTCACAGTTTTTCTGAGCATCGAAGAAGCAGCGGACGCGGGACGGCCACATCGAGGACGGTCTTCTATTGTCCCTCTCTTCAGTGCACGGTAGACTGTGGACCGGTGCAAATTCAAGAGCCTGGCGATGTTCATAGGGGAGTGCCCGGCCTCGCTCAGTGAGAGGATAGCACTCCTGTTTGGATTTGGACGTACCATGAGCTTCAAAGTAAACGAGGAGCGCTGATATTTTACAGGCTTATTCAGAAGAATATGGAGGGACTGCCAATATATCAAACGTACGCAAAAATCAATAATCAACAGCAAAAGTGGCGCGCAAAATTTGGTGCAATATTTATGGGACACCCTGTATCTCGTATAACTTCGTATAATCGCCAAATCGCCATTCTTTTGAACCGTATAAAGCTAGGAGAGAACCCGGTCATAGTAATCTCCGGAATGCAGAGTGAAAAATAGGTACCTGCGTAAAAATATCATATTCGCATCAATCAAGAAAACTGAAGACACGCTTCCTCCAACTCCTTCAGAGGAAATTTAATTCGCTTCACTCATATCAGTTTTGTCTAGGTTCGACCTGTTTGAAGTCAATGACGACCGCCTACGACTTCCCTGATTTGAATATCTCACCAATACTTGGAGAAGAGGAGAGCGATAACGAAACAGATGAACAGAATCCAGCTGACCTCCCGGGTTCTCATCATGTAGGTTTACTTTCAAGAAGTTGCTATGTCTCTTCTAGAGTCTTCTAGGCGTTGTTGCATTACAATCTCCAGGAGCATTTCAACTGTAGCGCAATATTTCAGATGGACGTTCCTCTTCAGGACGTTTTGAAAGGACTGTCAATTTCGGAAAGTGATCCTTCCAGAAATGCTCTATCGAGTGGTGCATCTGATGTCGAGAGCTGTACAGGTCGTTTTCACCGTTCGATATTTATGTGTCTCTGTTGAACTCCTTAGGCCGACAGTTTCGTCTTGTTTTTCGGAGAAAAAAAGATTCTAAAGATTTCTTTAGAAACCTGTAGTGAGGATTTTCCAGAACCTTCACTTGGTTTCTCGAGATGATTTCACTGTTCAGTGGACTGATTTTCAGTGTTTATACTTTTTCTGTCCACGCTCTATTTTTGATCTCTTCTCACATAGTCTCCTCAATGAAAACCCTTTATGCTGGAAGGAAATGCTGTCGTAAAAAGGTTCAAATCACTACAAGGTTTATGTGGCACCGAAAGAAATTTAGATTAAAACATCTTCATTATTAATTGATGACCCAGGTGGGATTTGAAGCAGTCAGGCTGGTGTCAGAGTCGATCCGTTGCGCGATTCGTGAGCCTAAGAGGTGGTTGATAACAGGCGGTTTTCAGTTGTGCGTACCTAACCTTTAACTGCTAAAATGGTCCAAAATTTGAGCAAACCTTTGTCTTTCGGCTGCTGCGAGATCAGAAAAGTAGCATTTTCAAGGACTTCCGCAATATCTCATGAGTGCGACGTATACAGAGGTTGGAAGGAGCCTGCGTTGCGCTGGAGAGTCGCAACTTCTGAGATTTTAGGCTCTAATATGAAAAATAGCTTGTGCTTTTCATATGAGTTTTGCTGACCTTCTCAGACAAATCTCCAGCCTTTGCTCCAGATGCTCAACGCCGACCAGCGTGCTTGTATGGTAATACACAACGTGGTGATTCGTTCGATTCATCATCCGAAGGAGCCTTCGCTGCACTTGAGTGTGAGATGAAACGCTCACTTTTTTCTGTCGCCGAATCGTGCGATTTCGCTGCTGATCTACAAGAATCTTTCTGCAGTATTTTGAGCGGTATGCTTTTGGCAATTTGCCATCATTTCGCCAATTTTTTACAGTTCGCATTGCTCTTGATTAACATTCTAGGTTGTCGCGTTAATGTAGAAATGGGATGTTGTACGGAGTCGTCGGCAGATGTGCGTTCTCGACTTCGTCGCATGGGTGCTGTTGTTTCACGACGTTTCACAGAAACGACCACTCATGTTGTGTTCTCGTTCGGAGGAAGAGCTGCAATTCTGCGACATGCTTTTTCGTTGACGAAGAGACCATTTCTTGTAGATCCTCATTGGGTGTATGAGTGAGTTTTTTTTCAAACAACAGATCGAGCGTTTGACGATTGTCAGGCCTTTTCGAAGAAGAGCTTTTATCTCGCGCCATTCGATTGCGAAAATAAAATAAATTATCTATAGACTTGCAAATTCTTCAAATTATTGCTTTTTTTGTTTTTCGCACTCGTAAATGATAAATCAAAAAAGGAAAATGTGTAAGAATCATCTGTGAAATCTACAAACTCGAACTCGAATTACAACTGCACTAGCTGCCCACATAGTCCATTATTTAAGGTGCTTCAACACTCAAACTCATGTTCCAGAAGAACAGTACTCTCTTTACGACTGCCGTTTTCTAGTTAGTGCCCTCCGGAGGAGTTTGGTTCGTTTTTTTCCTACGCCGAGGTCATATGTCTGGTATCCTTGAAAGCAGATTCCAGGATTCGCGATGTGTCTCCGAAAATGGAAACCTAACTCATGCGAACAACAATGATGTACCTACAACAGCTTCTACTTCCCATGTTGAAGGAGGTCTTCTGGCCCGCAGTGCTTTGACTGAGGTATAAGACATTGTTGTTGTGCTTATGTCTTCGCTATCTGTCCAACTAATCTGCTATCCCTTTATTCCCTTTATCATTTTTGCATTGCTCATGTAAAAAAGAATGATCAGCGTAAACCCACCATTAGTTTTGCTCCAACTGCCCCTTAACCAGCCTTATCCACTCTGTGTTATGCGATCAGTTTTTGTTCATTTCCGTAATTTTATCGCTTAAGTTTTCGCCGCTCAACTATTCGCTTCCCTTTTGGTATTGCACTCTCCCGTAGCCTCATCAGGACCTAAATGTTGAATAACACAAACAGGCATCAGAAGTTTTATTTCAAAAATCTTGAAAGTCCACAACTTCATATGTTTCGAAAAGGATTCCTCTGGAAACTTCTGCTATTTTTTGGTGTGTAACGCCTACGCCGGCATGGATCTGTCTCAGCCACGTATAGAGCTACCCCTAGGGGACCGCGTAGCGTCATCAGAGTTCCGCTCTAACACTGTGACTCCTGTGGGGTAGCTTATACGTATCTGAGGCAAATCCATGCCTGACGAAGGTGTTACACACCGGATTGTCGTGGAGGTTTTTAGAGGAATTTTTCTGACTTGTTTTTGGAATATTGGTTGAGCTTTTGGAATTCTTTTGGAAAATTTTCAATGCCTCTTTGTGATATGTGACGTTTAATCTCTCCGTTCTCATTTCTAATCGTATTTATTTTTTCGGATGATGAAGTGACTTTCAACAGATCTATGAGTGCTTCCGAGCTTCTTGCGAAGATTGATCTCCTTTCAAGACGTCTTGATCGAATCGGTAATGAGTCTGGAATATTATGATCTTGCTTGAACACACCTCCTTATTACAGGAGCTGCTCCATGCGTGTTGGGTAATCGCTGTCCAAGTGCTATGAAAGGTAGCTGCCTCAAAAAGTTTCGTAACTGCATGCTCTTGCGGAATTGATTTCATTAACTTAACTTGTAGGGAAACTGCACACAAATGGTGTTTCTAAACAATTCATGGTCAAGGAAATGAGGAAGGTACGTCACACGCAACATTTCTTAGAAAAATACCAATGTGCAGGCTTGTAAAGGTTGGCTTTGCTAGATCCCCGTGAGCGGAAAGGTATTGCGACGGCGTACTCTTTCTGCTTTCCCACTGGAATATCGTGAACCATTCTCGACTGTTGTCCAATTGTACCGTGAATCGAGAGGTGAGTTTGTTCTCCTTAGCTTTTCTTGATTACTTCTACCTCCTTTTTATAGATGAAGAAAACGCGATATGTGGTCGCCTCAGGCGAATGGATCTTGATGAAAACAATGACAACAAAGAAAACGAAGGTATCACCTATTAATGGATCATTTTGTCTTCCCATGGGAGAACAGGCGCCCGTAGATATGAACTTGAGTATCAACTACTGCATTCATGTGAGAGGCGTCCATCCAGTCGTTTATATTCTGCAATCACGAGGTAGGACCAAACTTGGCGTTTGTAATCGTGATCGCAGTCACGAGTGGGGCGATTTTGGTGCGATGTCAAAATCGCGAGTAGGGGTATAGTTGTTGATATGGTATGGTTGATGCATTGGTTCCGATAGATGTTACTTGCTTCGTATTCTGTGAGTCTAACCTTTACCATATCAAAGTGCACGGCAAGTAGTGGCTGGCGAATTTGTAATGCTTCCTTTGAGTTGACCCTTTGCATCGTTTTTTATCATTGAAGTTCACAAAAGATTGAAGCGTTCTTGAGTTGAAAGAAAGAAGCTCAGCTGTGAGTTTAGCTGTCGATTGTGTGTTTAGAAAAAATAGGTCTACTCGAAAGCTGTGTAGAGTCTACAGAAAGTACCGCTCATGAGCGGTCGTATAAAGAGCGAGAGTGATATTTGGGTGTTTTGTGATGAATTCAAATAAGTCACTGCAGTATGTAGTGATGGAAACAAAAGAGTGATAGGGCCTGTTGAGCTGTAAGAGAGTGACTTATAATTAGGAACGTACATCAACATGTTTCTGATGTCACCAGTTTTTATGAGCGTGCGGAGTCAGTGCTTCAACTGTCAGAAAGTTCCTGTTGAGGAGATTTGTTAAGTCGCAGATGCCGAAAACTTTGTGCTATTCTTATAGAAAAGCGTAAATGGTTGGCTGTTTTGCAGAGCTCGTGGTATCGAGTAAACTAAACGAAGATGTGTCAATGTTGTAATCCGAGTTGGAGCTTAATTGTTATTAGTGTCCGTACGTGTAATGCACTGATTGGCTAGTGGCAGTGCTGCACGCAACTAAGAGAATTAGGAGCACGTTTGGTGAAAGGGAGAATGCTGCAACACGGCTGCCGTCCGGATCTAGATCGTGTCGAATGGTTTCTACGAAAGAGTTGCAAGTCGCCTCAGTTTGCAGCATCCATTGCTCATCAGAAATCGCAGTCCTCTCCAATAATGCTCACGAGCTATCGCGAATGAGGCACTGCGTCGGTCTCAACTACGTAGGTTAAACTTTAGAGCCGCTTATGCAACGCATGTTCATACGCTGATTTTGATATATATTTGTTACGTGAATGTGAAGTTGGTGGATCTCATCCCATCAGGCATTCAATCTGGGAATGTCGGAATAATATACCAGAAAACGTGGACCCCGCTATCGTATAAGCGAGGAAGAGAATGAATGTCGATTGAGTTATCAACCCCTAGATCGGTACCTACTTGGCACTTAGAACGCAGTTGCTTCAGCTTTATTCATTCCTCTCATTCTCATTCATTTCAGGCTCCAATTCTGTCAAAGTACCTCGCAAACATAATACACAGCACAAGGTAGGTTTTAATTCCAAGCCCTTGTAAATCGTGTTTTTCACTTATCTAATCTATGGTCTCATCCCTTCCACACTACTCATTCTGTTTGGCTTCACCAATATCCGCGTAATGTGGTGATTTTTTGAGAAGCAGACAATGACAGGAAGTGATCAAGAGGCGGGAACCGCTCCATGTGTGCATTCAATCCCAAAAGTGTCTCGCCGCAATAGAAAACAGCTCCGAGATGGGTGGTCTTCTTGGTTTTCGAGCTCCTTTTCATGGTATGCATTCAGTATTCGAATTTCCAGGCAACTCTCAAATGTTGATCTATTTTAGGTGGCGCTTATGCCCCTTTGGTTGAAACGGCGTCTTCAATGATAAACCATCTGCAGTTGGCATCTACTTCTGAAGAGTTCGTTAAGAAAAAGCAAGCCCCTGTTGTTGCCAGGAGCAGAAATGGGATCGTATTCACTGGGTTCTTCAGAGAGTGAGTGATTTCCAGTGATTTCTGAAGTCCACCGTTGAATTCGTCGTTTAGGAAGGAAAGGGAGCTGCATTCTACAGCTTCCGAGCTGCGTCTGAAGGTGCAGACGAAAATCAACGCCAGAACTTATTGTGTTGTTAGTGCGAATGGAGATCGCACGTTAAATACTCTACGAGCTGTTGTTTCTGGTATTCCAGTGGTTAAAACGGAATGGGTACTGCAGTAACTTTTTGCAGCACAGATAGTGTAATAGAGTGTTTACTAAGTAATGTGTGTAATTGTAGCTTGATGCTTGTGCTGAAGCAAACAGGTTCCTACCGCTGGATCAATTTCACCACAAACGATGGCAGAGGTTAATACAGGTACTGTTGGTTCTCGATCAATACTTGCTCTTTATGGATTCATGACCGCCGAAGATTAACTCGAATGTGGGAGGTTGATTTTGTGATTGATGACATTACTTGATTACTGGTGGTCTTATGATTCAAAAAGCGCTATATATAGCCTGATTTGTACTTCATCAGTGCATTGTACTAAGAAGCATCAAAGGTCACGAGGCCTGGGCAGAAATGTTGTTCGAGCGTCCATTTCTTTGATCGTACCCTTTCACAACTAATGAGGGCTTCACCGCGCTTGTTGCTTTGAACGCAAATGGTGTTGTAAGTTGGAGGCTTTCAGGGGTGAAGAAGAGGAGAAAGTGTTGCTGCAGTGAAGAAAAGTCCATGGAAAATCACCCGAAACCTGCGAGACGGTCCTCTATCTGTCCATTAACTTTCGTCTTTCACGAGCCAGCGACCAACACAGGATCGATTGGATGAGTTGACGTGATGACCAGCGTTACTTCGGCGAAAATCGTGAGACGTTTGGAAGGAAAAAGCTCTTTTGACTGGAACTGTTATCAGTACTATCACGCGGCTTGCTTCTGTTATTATGCGGTCGCCCGGGGCGTGCAGAAGCAAGAATGTCGGTCAGATCTGACCCCTGCTGATAACCGAATGCCACAGCCGCGTGGTTGTACTCGAGGGCGAGAGCTGCAGAGGGGTAGTTGGGACTAGGTAGATCATATTTCTATTTGCCGCGCCCTTCCGTAGAAAACTCTTTTCCTCACGATGGTATGCGATTGGCTACTTTCCAGTGAGAAGTAAAAGGATTGGTTGCACATCGTAAAGCCTTACTTTTAACCCTTTGACGACAATGCGGATTTGCCCAAAAGGGGCTCTTGGGATCAGGCTTCTCTTTGGCGCGCATAACTCCCCGCTCAGCATTGGCAGAATTGTCTCTGGAAGCAGGATTTTCTAGCTGATGTTAAACTTTTCACATTTATCATTATTGTATCGGGGATGGAAATGTTACGTTCGGAAGGGGGGGAACTCGCATATTTTCAAAGGAGGGAGTTATAAACTATCAAAAAGTTCATGGTACAGATTATAATTTTGTTACAGTTCATACGTCTCCTGTGTCGGGAGATTATAAAAAGTCTAAAAACTCCAATCAATAATTGATCTTCAGCTCAATCATAGAAAAAACCCAATTTATATGCAGGGGAGCTGAATGCCACGTTCTGAGGTTTCTAGCCAGTTCTAGCGGTTAGTATAGACTAGCTCTTATTGAATATTTCTGTAATCATTCTGAAAATAGATATCATGGAGCTCCCTTATGATTTCTGGGGGGGATGTTCAAAGTGTTCTAAGATTGCGCTATAAGAGTAAAGTTCAAAGTGGATTCTGACCAGGTGATGTCATGGTCCTGAGCGGCCAAGATAGGAGTGCCCTCACCGGTGGGGTGCCATTGTCGCCAGAGGGTCAACATGATTTCTTCAGTTTGCAGAACTCTGACGATTTTTGGTCTGCTATCGGCCTTGTTAGCCCTCTATTTTCAGAAGCGAAAACAGCATGATCATTTGTTTTCCGAAGTTGGAAAAATTTTCGTGTTTTGATGGTTGCTCCCCTCTACATATATGACATTTTGACTTGTGATGATCAGAGAAAGCGGAGGCGAGGTTAGCCATGAAATTTTTTTCACACAGTGGAGCGAATTTTCTCCGGAACGACGGAATGAACAATTTTTGCTTTTGTTTTCTTTAGTTTAACTGCCTCAATATTCAGACAACGAATAATCCATGTGAATGTCGCTCGGTGGCTCCACAGATGATTCCTAGAAATAATGTGTTCGGAAACGTGGAATTCCACCGCCTGTTGTGTGGAGAAGTACATTCTTGGTGAATTCAGCTCAGCTTTTACAAAATTCGTCGCAAAGAGGTCATATTTTATTTCAATTTTTAGATTGTATCAGTGAGAACAAGGTACTTGAGATCGACGGCTACATGGAACACGATGTCGTTGATGAAATCTGCTAATTATGAGTCGTTATCGAGGTCTTCACCGCAGGATTGCGGCGCGGAGCAGTCCGTTGCTGAAGTCCTTGATTTACGAACTCGTGAGTAGGTTGTAACACTTTTGTAGAGGAATATCTACTTTTCAAAAAAGCACTTTCAAAACAAGTCTATTGCTGATTGTTTATAAAACTTGAAATATTTCGCAGTGACACTTTCAGTGGAAATAAAGTTTATTTCAATTTATCAATTCTTATTCATTACTAGCAATTTGACGGAATAAAATTTTGGCGCGTTTCCCTTTTTGTAAGGACAACAGAGACGAAGGCAAGTCGGCTGGAACGAACAGCATGAGAGCTTAACGAAAACACCTGCTGAGAGGGACAGTTGAGAGCGGCTGTAGAAAGAATTAGGCAAAGGTGGAAAAGGAACAAGGGAGGTTTGGCTTTTTACAAAGATAATGTGGAGCTACTCGCAGAATTGAACAAAGACAAGCCCAGTGGGGCAAAAAGAATGTGAAAATAGGCGCGGATGGCCAATAAAGGGTTGTTCAAGTACAGGGACCACAATGGGTGGGAGGCGGAGCGGCTTTAATGACGTCATTAGGCATATTATTATGATTGAGGTCAGTGGTGGAAGGGCATTGGGAGGTGTCGGACCACGCTCGCCAGCGCAAGCTCGCCAGGGATGCGTTGCAGTTCCTCTCCTCAGGTCAGGACATCTGAAACTGAAACACCACACATTTGCTCGAAGTAAGCTCAGGAAAAAATCTAGGCTCAACCATAAGCTTGAGCATAGGCCTAGCCAAAGGCCAAACCCTATGCCTCAACGTTAGGCCTGCATTTATCGCGCAGCTCTGGTTAAGCCTGACACCAGGAAGAGAACTGAAGTCTCCCGCCCATCATGCATTTGTTACGCCTTTAGACCTCGGTCAGACTCGGCGATTGCGTCGCTGGACACCAGCGACGGAGCCGCCAGCGACGGAGCCGCCAGCGACGGAGCCGCCAGCGACGGAGCCGCCAGCGACGGAGCCGCCAGCGACGGAGCCGCCAGCGACGGAGCCGCCAGCGACGGAGCCGCCAGCGACGGAGCCGCCAGCGACGGAGCCGCCAGCGACGGAGCCGCCAGCGACGGAGCCGCCAGCGACGGAGCCGCCAGCGACGGAGCCGCCAGCGACGGAGCCGCCAGCGACGGAGCCGCCAGCCACAAGAGTGGGCAACGGGCGATGACTCATCACACGATCGATATCGGTTGGCAGGGGGGGGAGATTAACCCTTTGACGACATGCGGATTTGGACGTAGCGTGCTCGTGGGACCAAATCTTGCTCAACATTATGCAAAATTTCCCCTGAACGCAGTTTTTCTTTCTGATTTTTGACTTTACCAATAGACAAAATGTAACTACAGATGAGAGCTTTCATAGTACACATTGTTGGGAAACGAATTGAACGTTTGGAAGGCTAACTCGGATTTCAAAGGGATGGTGGTTAAAAACTCTAGAAGTTCATACGTACAAAAGTATTTTGATATAGTTCAAACTCCTCATTGTGTCTTAAAACTATGAAAAGACTTAGAGGCTCCGTCGCTGGCGGCTCCGTCGCTGGCGGCTCCGTCGCTGGCGGCTCCGTCGCTGGCGGCTCCGTCGCTGGCGGCTCCGTCGCTGGCGGCTCCGTCGCTGGCGGCTCCGTCGCTGGCGGCTCCGTCGCTGGTGTCCAGCGACGCAATCGCCGAGTCTGACCGAGGTCTTAAGACCGCGACGCCCTCCAGCATCGTCTTACTGTCTTCAAACCAATCGGAGGAATACTGAGAGGAATTCAAAGTAAGGCCACAAAAAAAATGGGAGTGAGGATCGTTAGAAGGTAGGGCAATAGAGATAAATATTAAGCTGTTGCTTGATTCCATATTCCCTTTATTTCCGTGGTATTTCCTACACGAAGAGTTCCCATGTTGGCAAATGTTACCAGTTGGTCAGCTGCGTCAGTCTAGAAATAAAAATCGCTACGGCACATAATTCCGTCAGTCTTGGCACGGTAAATCACTTCGTTAGCGAAGGATTCCACGACAAAATGGAAGGTCGTCGAGAAAGAGGAAAAGTACCTGTCGAAAGGCGCGCATCTTTCAGACTAAAAATTTGTCCACGAGGATTGGTCATTTGACACGTGTTTAATCTCAACGTGTGCCCTGCTGCGATAAGCCGCGCAGTCAGTACATGCGTTGCAAGAGCAATTACATTCCTTCGAGAACCGTCATATATGCAAGGGATGGTTATTGAAGGGGGGTCGTACCTCAGAGTTTGCCCCGACCCCTCGCTTGACCTGACCTGAAGTCCCATGATCAGTCAGCTAATTTTGTTCGCTTCAAATCGCTACCACATTTCACTCCCATTTTCTCTGGGTTGTCGACTTCCAGCTGTGTGACTGGATGCGGTAGAGGCTTGTGCGTACCTCTCGACGAGACGGACAGTGAATCGCAAAACAAAGGCATGAGCTGCGGAGTGACTGAATTTGATGTTTGCCGCCGTGAGATGAAATAGGACCTGTCGATGGAGAGGTAGGAATCCAGTAGGAATCGACCCGAGCACAATGGACCCTCATGGAATGAGCAAAGTACAAATCCGATCAAAATAGCCATATTCTTATCGCAATGGAGGCTGACCCGTCTAACTTAGTATTCATAGACTGCGGTACAGTAAGCAGGAGGTCTAGGCACAGTTCCCAGTCGTGGCACTGTAATTGGTCACAAACCCAGCATCCCTTGTGAAAATCGACTTTAGTTGAGCAAATTTAGTGTAGCATCGGTGAGTTGTATTTCTAGGCTTTCCAAAGGGCCTAGGGTCAGTGTGCGCATTTTCCAAGAGATGACCTTGGCCTCGCGAGAAGATCACAGGCCCGTTGAACGAATGTGTGGCGTTACACCCAGTTTTGCTGCATCAATAGTGGTTATAGGCAATTCCACTGGAGTATTGAGTGCATCCTTTAAACACAAAGAAAAAAAAACATGAGAAAAAACTTGGTAAAATAAAAAAAATACAAAAATTCAACGAATCATCACTGCGAAGGTGCTCTACTATAATTCATTGCCACCCCGTCGAAACCCACTACCACCACATTTGTGTGGCCAAAAATCGGACCTGAGGCCAGAACGGGATCGCAAGGACACGTCACTCTTCTTGCAGGGCCAACGGCCGGAGAACCTTGGACACAGCAAGCCTCGGACAAGATTAATTGCTTTTCAACGTTCTCAAGGCAAAATGACGAAAACAAAAGAGTCGACACAATTGTCGTGATGGGATACGCCACGCATTTAAGCTCAATTCAGAGTTGTCACGACGTTTGAAAGGAGCATCAAGCGTCTACAATGGCTTGGCCAGATAATCATTGATTATTTGCGTCAAGTTTCGTCAACAAGTCTACCGTCAGTCGGTCGACACTAAAGCGGTGCGGGTTAAATTGATCTATGAATAGGATTGAACTTCGAATCGCATGTGGGAGAACCATCCCCTAAACCACTGCACCATTTTCACGGTAATAAGGGATTATTAATACATTGCCTAATTTCCACGTTATAATAGGCCGTCTATCACATAAAGCTTTGTTAATTAGTCTCTAGACTGGAATGCGGGTTAAATTGATCTGTGAATAGGGTTGAAATTGCGAAACGCACGTTGGAGAACCGTCCTCTAAACCACCGCATCTCAAGAGTGCAGAGATTCATCAAGAGACAAAACAAGACCTTTGGGACGACCGCCAACTCGGTGGGCCGACTCGTTTTCAAAATTTTTCAGAGAACGCGGCCTACATTGGATGCAAGTTGCCAAAATCGGGCTATGTGGAAGAGCTGTGGTCCCCACTGAGAAGAACGCCAGTTGATGGACTATCAAAGTATCAAGGTAAGTACACTGGAATATTCAAAACATGTATGACCTTTTTCATGCATTTGACCTCACTGCGTACTTTCATAGACTGATTTGATGCTGGTGCTTTCCCGCTATAGGGATCATCCTTCTTAATAGTGCACCATCAATCAATGATGAGGACTATTTTTTCAACCCAGTGTCTTTGAAAATTTAGTGTTAGCCCCTCCTGAAGGGTACCTTTATACAACCCCCTCTATTTTTTCAACTGTGGTCTTGCACAGGTAGTACTTGTAACCTAAAAGCCCTACCTTCAACTAATACATTCCATTTTCAACTTGAAAACTCCGTGGAGTGGGGTTTTATGTAACAGCCGAGATGGGGGAATTGCAAAAATTTTTGGAATTCTCAATTTTCCATAACTTTGAAACGATTTTCTTGCAAGTCTTATACACATTACGACAAGAAATTTTACCAGACCTACGTTTTCCTTCCAAAAATCACAAAAATCAACTACTCGTTTTGTTCACAGGATGGACGACCCCGGTGTGATTGATGGTCAATTCGACTTCCGCGTATTGCGCACGCGGTCGTTCTGATCTCTAGTTCCCTACTACATTTTTTACGCCCTTTGTCGGGACTTGACATTGAAACAACTCAAAAAGATGCATAAGAGATAAGTATAAAGCAGTCGGCGTTGGTCAGTCATCTTTGGGATGCGCCACGCATTTTACTTCCATTCAAGATTAGTGCATTTTGAATACCATTTGGCCCGTTCTTCTTGCAAGATC